GCTTGTCTGTACATAGTTCTTGCAATCCATGTAAAACCTTTCTAAGTCTTCATATTTTTTTTAAGTGTGAATGAAATTAATTTGGGAGGAAACAAAGCATTTTGAATGAAAGACCCAATCATTTGTGTTGCTGTTCACAGGCATCTATAGACCTAGATTTATAGGTTGTGGTCCTATTATTCATTCAGTGTTTTCAGTTTGACATTATTGATCGTGTTTTTTTTTTTCATTCAATATTATTTTAAATGCCTTGCCATTGTTTTGAAGACAAACGTCTTGTGAAGGAGGTGAAACCAATTTTCTGCCGACTTGCAAACACTGTGCTCTGCTACCTTTGTCCTACCAATGTGCCTTTGATGTAAAAAGTTTGGAAAGGCTTCCGCTAGCTTCACTTGGTTTCAAAAGTACAACTTATGTTTTCTTAAAACCATGTCAGATATTCCAGGGATATGCATCGTTTTTGAAGCAAAGGCCATCTAAGAGCTCAACACTTGGTTAGGGTATTGCAAATATAATTTGCAATTTAAAACTAGAGGAGAGACTTCTTTGATCATTTTTGATCAGTATATTTGTTCAGTGTTTAACACCAGTCGTTTGTTCGAAAAAATAAAATGATCTAAACTCTTTGCAGCATGGTACCCTTTCTTCCATCAAGGTTACTTGTCCCAAACCTACATGACTGACATGTTCATGAGAGGAAAATATATAATGTTGTTGTTTCCTTTTCAGAAAACGATTTGTAGTGCTAAATCAATCAATAGTAAACAAAATGTGTTGTGTTCCCTATGCAATGTGCTTTTTGAGTGTTATTGTAATCTATTTGCTTGCATGGTGTGTCATGGAAACCCCCTTTAAATGAAGCTAACCAAAAGTGGTTGCACTATACACACATACTCAATCTTGTCTTAAAGGGATAGTTCACCCAAAATGAAAATTCTTTCGTTTACCCTCATGTCATTCCAAACCTGACTGGTTTACTTTCTTTTGCTGAACCCAACAGAGATGTTTGAAGAATGTTTCAGCTTCTTTTCATCTTAAATCAGTTTGGTTTCAAACAACACTGGACCCCATTTTGCAGCTTTAGCCATTCACACAGAACACATTTTTGCTGTGAAAAATTGACACATTTGACTGTTAAGCTTGCACATCTTGCAGCATTTCGTGCTTGATGTGACATTGTAAAAAGGCATTGTTTGAATGGCCTCTTACCAAATTTTATACCAAAGATGATAACTAATTATCATTCAAGTTCTTTGAGAATAAGGAATTTTGCACCACAGCTTTAACAATAATGTCATTATCATGGTATTAACTTTCAGAAAGATTTTTTTCCAGTTGATTGAATCAGAATCCACTGAAATTTAAAGAGCTTCAGCATTTAAAATGGCAGATGACATCAACTGCAGCTTGCTTATAACAAAAATATGAACGTTATGGAACCTCGGAATGGACACCAGTGTAATTATGATTACAGTTATCTGTCTGTGAACAAGCCTTTAGTCAACATTTAAAAGAATAGTTCACACTCAGGCCATTTAAGATGTATATGAGTTTGTTTCTTCATAGCAACAGGTACATTTCTGATGAAAAGGATGAAAATGAGAAATTTACAACCCCAATTCCAGAGAAGTTGGGACTTTTTGTAAAAATGCAATAAAATTCTGTGATTTGTTCATTCTCATTCACTTTTATTTAATTGACAAGAGTACAAAGAAAACATTTCCAAAGTTTTCACTGACTAACGTGAATGTATTTTGTAAATATGAACAGATTTTGATGGCTGCAACACACTCCAAAAAAGATGGGACAGAGGCACGTTTAACACTGTCACATCAACTTTCCTTTTAATTACAATGTTTCATTGTTTGGGAATTAAGGATACTAATTGTTAAAGTTTTGCAAGCAATATTTTTGTCCAGTCTCTCTTGAAACAAGGCTTAAGATGCACAGCAGTCTGTGATTGCCGTTGTCTAATTCTCCATTTCATGACTGGTTATACATTTTCAATGTATCAGTCAGATCTGGACTGCAGGCAGGCCAGTCTAGCACATTCACTGAGTCCACGAAAGCACGCTGATGTAGCACATGCAGAATGAGAGCTGGCATTGTCTTGATCTAATAACCATGGACTTGCCATGAAAGACGGCATCTGGACGGCAGTATATGTCTCTGTACAACTCCAATATACAATATGCATTGAATTGGACGAATAACCTTTGTTGGCGAGTAACTGTGTAGGAGAGAACTATTTTCCTGCTCACCTGAACACGCAAATATTGCAAGACAGAACCAATCAATCACAGAGCGCGTTCACTCACTTCTGACAGTGCATTCAAACAGGGCTGCGTTTCCCAAAAGTATCATAAGAAAGCATTAAAGCAGCACTGGGAACAGCAGCACAAAAAACATATCTGAACCATGTGTAAACAAAAATATAACCTAATAAGTTACAATTAAGGCGTACTGAATGTAAAAATGCGTTTTAAACATAAAGTTAAGTGATTATCATTACCCATTTTACTTTACTAGTAATTTAATAATTTAATACATTTCATAATTTAAAAGTTTATTCTCAGCGCCGTCAAAATAAAAGTCCCGCCATGAATGCATTGGCCAAACAGAAAAACTTATCGGCCGATGCCGATATTTGAAAAATGCCAAATATTACCACTAACCATGACATATGTTTGCTTTTGCATCTGTCACTGATGAAAGTCTGGATGGTCCCTTTGGTCTTTGGGACTGAGAACTCGAAATCCATTTTTTCCAGAAACAAGTTGAAATGTGGACTCATTTGAGCACAGCACACCTTTCCACTGTCTTTTTGTCTATCTGAGATGAGCTCTGGCCCAGAGAACCTGGCATCATCGCTGCATAGAATTGTTGTATAGCTTTCTCCTAGACCTAGAGTAACAGAGTTTCAAGTTGCATTTCTTGATGCAGCAGCAGACTGTTAAGTGACAGCAGTTTTCTGAAGTACTCCTGAGCCCATGTGGCTATATTTAACATGACGGTTTCTTATGCAATGCCATCTGAGGGCTCAAAGGTCAAGCACATTCAACTGATGTTTCCTGCCTTGCCCTACATGCAGGCTTTGCCCCCCCCCACGGACTTCCCTGTGTCCCCCCTCCGGACCGAGGGAGACGGCCGGACTTTAGTTTCGCGTGTATAATAGTCTAACTCATAGCGTAAAATAGTCTAACTGATTGCTTTTAGATGGAAAACCTCCTGGTCTAGGATCTGTTTTCTTCCAAATAATAGCATAACGAAATAGATTTGGCAAACAATCCAGTGTATCTGCCCTTCTGTTTTGGAAAGCGTCAAATGATTTTACAATGCATTTTCGCAGAGGGGAGCAAAGTAGCCAATCACAGACATTTATTTCTACAACGCATTGGGCAGTCAAATGTGTTTAGGTTGGAATCCACGCACTCACCTCTTTTTGTCCGGTGCTGAGTTCTATCATGCTCGTAACTTCATTAAAAAAAGTTTCATTGTGTGGTCACATTAATTGGTTAAAACGGGACTTTGTGAGATCGTGATGAATGAGTGACAGTTTTTAATAAATTTAAAGGGAGCGCTCTTTCCATGCTGTATACGCTAATATATTCAGAATTTAAATAAAACGTGTGTTTTTCATGCTTGACAAGCGGCCATCTACGACACAGAGATAGCTAACTACTACATATAGAAAAAGATAATAGCCTAATTTCAGAAGCACAAAGTGATGTGATTCTGCAACCGAGCCTGGTCCAAACGCAGGATTTAGGTAAGGAAACGGTCATTAATTATTTGTATTGGCTGCCGTGCCAAATTATGCACCTTGCTTTTCTGTTTAATTTAAGTGTTTTTGTTAACGTATATGCTTTAATAACAAATAATTGTAACATTTCACAATAAGGTAAATGTTACTGTAATAAATGTTAATGTATTAAAGTGTTAGTTAATTATTGTAAAGTGTTACCCAAATTTTGAGCGTTCACTTGAAACTAAGCGCACTTAGTACTTCTTTGCACTTTAGTCAGTTAAATAAAAGTAAAGAGATTGAACACATCACAGATTCTTGGTTTTATTGCATTTTTACAAAACGTCCCAACTTCTCTGGAACTGGGGTTGTAACTTGTAGCATTACATCACTTGCTCACCAATGCTCATGCTTAGCAATGAAGCATCACAATAATCCACAAGTAATCAGTTCAATTACTGTCTTGTGAAGTGAAAAGCTGCGTGTTTGTAATAGACAACTCCATCAAGACGTGTTTAAGTAGTCGCTTCCAGTCCTCCAATCCTAAAAAATTGCCTGAATCGGGAGAGGAATTTGCACAGATCAAGCACCATTTACAAGCAAAAACAGTCCAGTACAGTTCTAAACAAATATGTCGGTCAGATTTTGATGTGCGATTGCCACAGGAGATGGACATTTTCACTTGGGGAAGCCTTATTACGGTTAATGGACTGGTGTTTTGGCCAGAAGTGATGGTTTAAAGTTAAAATGCTTTAATGGTGGATTTGTATACAAACAGTTTTCACTTCACAGAACATTTACAGATGGATTGACTTGAGTTGTGGATTATTGTGATGTTTTTTTTTTCAGCTGTTTGCACTCTCACAGAACATTTACATGCAGACTGCAGAGGATTCATTGGTGAGCAAGTGATGTAATGCTAAATTTCTGTTTTGATGAAGAAACAAATTCATCTACATCTTGGATGGCCAAGTCCTGTATTGCATTGCTTCCTCAGCATTTCAGAGAAATATTTTATGAATGCAAGTGACATCATTCAGTAGCCTGCCTTATTCCCAGAGGTGACTCATTCCTCAGCTACCGCGAGTCTGGAATACCAGGATGGACACAGGGATACTCCCATTGTAAAGGAATTTGGTACTTTAGTGCCATATATGGAGTTTTTGATATCAATCAGGACCAAGAAGGCAAAAAGGAGGCGGAGTCTGTATTGAGCGCGCGTTCTCATTGGTGGCGAGGTAACCGAAGGGAAGTTCTGGATCTACTTATGCTAAAATAGTAAAGCAGACAAAACTATCAAACTTTATCCGAAGTCTTTCTTTCGGTCCCTGACAATCTGTTTTGCAACTTTGGCTGCTCTTGTAGCTGACACAATGTCTTCGCAGTTCAACAGAGGTCCAGCATACGGGTTTTCAGCGGAAGTGAAAAGCAAGGTACGTGGAATAATTAACAAACGAGTTTAAAGCATTCGTTAAAACATAGACATGTTTTGTTTGCCGTATTGTAGCTCTTATGCAATAGAAATCGCTCCGTCTCATTCTGATGAATCTAAAGTTGATCAACAAATGTTTCCTAAACTTCCTGTAGTGTTAACAACACACGTGTTGCAATACAAGGTTAAATATCAATCGTGCTTCATATAATGCATATTTCATTATTAATTGATGGCAACTGGCTGTCAAGTTAAAGCAAGTAAAACGCAAAAGAAGTCGCGGAAACAGCAAAGAAAGTTCTAAGTACTCTTGGGGCGTTGCCTCCAGTGCTCAAATATCTTGTTATTGTAATTGGCCTGAAAAACACACAGCTTGTGCTCACAATAAAGCTGCTGCTGGTTCACATTCCTCTCCCTGATTGTAGCTGATGTGATTTTAGCACTCTAGTATCAGTTAGCAGTCCTGACGTTAGCTAGATAGATTTATGGTGTTAGATAGGCCTTTGATTTCCTTATTTTGATGTTTGACTATATGTAAAGTCATAAATGTAATTATATCACTCGCCTACATGTTGCTTCTTTATATATCGTGGGGTATTGAAGAAATGATAATGTAGATCTTGTGTTCTTATTGAAATAATGAGCATAGAGCTGTATTATAGTCTGATTGTAGTGTGATTTATTAATCAATGTCATATTTTTCCCCCCACTAGATTGCACAGAAATATGACCCCCAGAAAGAGGAAGAGTTACGAATTTGGATCGAGGGCATTACTGGGCGCTCAATTGGAGATGACTTTCAGAAAGGGTTAAAAAACGGTGTCATACTCTGCGAGTAAGTTTGTGTTTCAGTGTTTCCAATGTGGCCTCCCATCATGTCTTTTCAAACGTAATTTCACAACATAACCTTGCGTAACCTTGAGGTCTTGATGTTTCCTTAAAGGCTCATAAACAAACTTCAGCCAGGGTCTGTGAAAAAGATCAACCAATCATCCCAAAACTGGCATCAGGTGAGCTGACCATTTCCACTTCTCTAAAATGTTTATTCCTGAACGCTTTAGTAAAGCTAGAGACATTGAACTATTGATGTTCTGACATTGAACTTTTTTTTTTTTTAAACAGTTGTTTGTTGTGTTAACTTAAACTGCTGATAAGATTGTCTCTTGTTGTAGAAGGTTATTTTTTGTCTGTTCGCATTCAGATATTTTATTCTGTTGCAGCTGGAGAACCTGACCAACTTCATTAAAGCGATCACCACCTACGGGCTCAAGCCTCACGATATTTTTGAAGCCAATGATCTGTTTGAGAACGGAAACATGACACAGGTTCAGACCACCCTCCTGGCTCTTGCTGGCATGGTAAGCCCTGTTGAATCATATAATTTCACAGGAGAACAGCCTAACTCTGATATTTCAGTCTGTAATTAGAGTTTCTCCCTGTGTTTACAGGCTAAAACCAAGGGCATCCACTCAAGTGTAGACATTGGAGTGAAGTATGCAGAGAGACAGGAGAGGGCATTTGATGAGGAGAAAATGAAAGCCGGACAATGTGTCATTGGATTACAGGTATGAGTTTCTGTTATTTTAAACCATCTGAATATGAGTCACAATTATTTACCATTTGTAATACAGAACTGATTCGGCTTAACCTGGAAAGTACCATGACAATGTTTGTAGCTCACTTGCATATCTTTTAATAGATGGGAACAAATAAATGTGCAAGTCAAGCTGGAATGAATGCCTATGGTACCAGAAGACACCTGTATGATCCCAAGTCACACATTCTACCACCAATGGACCATTCAACCATCAGTCTGCAGATGGGCACCAACAAGGGTGCTAGCCAAGTAAGTACTAACCTCCCTGTGTCCTATGATATTGCTTACTCATTCTGATCAGTGGTGTCATTGTTAACTGAAATTGAAACCATCAAAAAGCACGAAATTATGCTGAAATAAAATATAAATATTAGATGGAAAAATTTTCAACTTAAAAATTAAACAAAATTTGGAAAAGTTGTCACTAACTGATGTAAAATATGTTTGAAGTACCAAAAATACTAAAGCTAAAAATAAATTACAGCTAAATGGAAATATTAAAAGATAATTTGTTTTCTTTTTTACTTTAAAAAGCATTAAAAGAAATGAAATTAGGCCACTAACTGGTGTCAAATGTTTGAAGAACCAAAATTACTAAAACAAAGTAAACTACAGCTAAATCGAAATATAAAAAATAACTTTTTTTACTTTTAAGTAAAAAGACTGAAATTAAATTTAAATAGATTAAAAAGTTAAACTTTTTAATATTCCAAAGTTTTGGAACTTGCTGAATTAAAATACAATATATTTAAGTTGAAGTACTAAAATTACTAAAATCTGAAATGTAAATTTAAAGCTAAATGGAATAAATTAAATTCAATAAATTAAAAAAATAATGACAAAAACACAATTCTTATCGCTCATTTTCTGCCCATCTAATTTGTATCAGTGTTGTTAATTAAAACGATTAAAAAGTGTTTTCATTAACTGAAATAAAGCTGAAATGAATAAATATTAGATGAAACATTGGAAATGTTGTAAAAAATATATAAAAGCTAATTCAAAATATAAATAAACACAATAATAATAATAATAATAATAATAATAATA